CTTCTCATATTTTAATAAATATAATCAAACCGACTGCTTCAATTTAAATATATCATAAAAATATGAAATTTATTTAGAAGTGAAGAAATATCTTATTAATTGCTTAGGGCCAATTTGGTGAATTTTGGAGATATTATAAGATGTGGGTTATGAAAACTCAGAGAAATGATATGGACTTTGTAATCTGAAATGATTTTATTTGGAGAGATTTAAATTTAGGATTTAATTAGTGGTAAGAAAAGGTGACTGGCAACGGGAGTGGTTGGCAGTGATAATGGTAGCGAGTGACGAAGAATGATCGATACTTGAGAGAGATATCAAACCCCTATATTGATATCTCCCAAATTCGAGAGATACTGAGACCATCAATTTTAAAGATTTATGATATCTGCATATATTAAATTTGATAACTCTTTTAGCTTAACCAAACACCAGAAAAGGATAAAGATATCTGGAGATTTCAAAATTCAAAACTCATATTTTTTTGCTCACCAAACACACTTTTAAAAGTTTTGTAATAATTGAATAGAAAATTATACATAATTAGAAAATAATTATTATAAAAATGAATATCTATATTCTCTTCAATAGTTAATTGTACCGAAGGACTTAATACAATAGTATTAACTTCTTACTTTCTATAATTTATTTTACATGTCAGAAATGTCTCTTAAACAATATCACATCTCTGTTTCTTAAAGATTAAAATATCAATTTTATAAATAAAGGATCAATTATAAACATATTTGATCCTTTTCTATAAGAATACTCTTAAATGAGAATATATCATTATCAAAATTTTGTTTTTTGTGTATGCACTTAGTTAAAAATTTGATTCATAAAAAATGCTAGTCTTGAAATGGTAGGTGATAATACCAATTTTATATTTTCACTAATTGTAACAAAAAACACCCTAGCTTGGATGGTTAGCAACTCAACTAAATGACCAAGAGATCCTTGTTTCAAACCCCATGGTGGTATGTTTTTGGAAAAAAATTGCAAAAAAAGAACTGGTCAAACCGGTCAAACCGATCGGTTTGTCTAAAAGGGTGACATATTAGCTCGCCACATGTCGCGCTTTAACTTTGCCAAATGTCACCACATCAGCTCGCCACATGTCGTGCTTTAGCTCTGCCAAATGTCACGTTCTTATAGCTCCGACGCTGCTTTATATATATAAAGGATTTGACTTCTTGAAGTCATTTTTTAGATTTTTTTTATAGAAGTTATTTTCCACCTTTTGTCCGTGTCTTTAGAGCTGAGCAAGTATCGAACCAATTTCAAAAATTCTTGAAAAAACTAATAAAATCAAATTGAAAAATACCGAATCAAAAAAAAATACCGCTATAATATCGAACTGTACCGAACCAAGTGTTCGGTTTGATATTTGAGAACAAGGTAACTTCCTATATCAAAAATCCCAAACCGAATATATACATATATATGTGTGTGTGTGTGTGTGTGTGTGTACTAATATATTCTAAATATAATTTTATCTTTTTATATTTTTCATTGAATAATAAGTTTCTTTTATCATGTATGCTTTGTACTTTTATTTGAGTTTTAATTTTTTATAGAAGAATTTGAAAATAGTTACACACATTTGAAATATCATTTTGTTATCATTCGTTTACCGTAGTTTGTGAGATATAAACTAAGTTCAATAAGCATTTCTTGCATTTAATTTTTCATTTTTTTGTTTTTTTGTTTTTTTGTTTAAATATACTTTTTATTTAAAAAAAATAAGCATTTTTTTAGACATTTTAAAGTTTAAATTAGGTGCATATGTTTTCATCCCGATTCATCCCGAAACGAATACCGAACCATTCGAACCGAAATTTAAGATATTGTGGAAACAGTTTAAGATATTTAGCATTTGTTGCCTTCCATTTTTTTGGAAAGATGGGTTTTTTAATTGTAAATTTCCCAAAATAAGCAAAACAAAAATGTAATTTTTTTTCATATTTTCAAACAAACACCAGAAAAGATAATGACTTTAAGAAAATATAGCTCATTTTCCTTGTTCCAAAAAGATTCTAAGTGCATCTTCATCCCTTATACTCCATCCGTCTCTAAAAAATTTACATAGTTACAATTCAAATATTGCTGGAACTTTAGATTATTTGTGTGATTTCATTGACTATTTGATGAAATAAAATATTTATGTCACTTCTTGTGTTGTAGAACTTTTGATTACTTTTTAAACATGTAAGTTTTATTTTTTATTTATCTACCAATCTTTAAAAAAATGAATTGAAGAAAACTTGAGATTTTACTTCATTCTCGCTCTCATCCACATCGTCTCCACATCATTCATTTTTAAATACCTTAGTTTTTAAACAAATTCTCACAACCCATATAATCATCCATTTAACTAATTTTTATGTGTCCCAATTTATTTTATTTTATTATTTATTTTCATTAAGAATAACATGAAAAATATTAAATTAAATATTTAGAAATTATATGAATTTTTATTTAGAATAATAAAATTAGAGAAGAAAGTTACAACAGCATTTTAATTAAAATAAACATTTAAATATTTTTAAATTAAGTATTTTAATTAAATAAGATAATTAAATATTTTGAAAATAAATATTACAAATTCAATATTTCTAATAAATATAAAAAATATTAAAACTAATAAGCTCCACATCTAAATGCATCTAATGGAATGAATATTTTACCTTCTCCCTCCATGTAATCAAGTACTTACAATCTTTTAAATAACATCTTTCAACCATCTATTATTTTAAACACCTTTTAAGCATCAACAATGGAGATGCTTCAAATGTCAAACGGGTAAGGAGGGATTTTCTGAAAGGGAGGTTTATTCTTTTTTTGAAAACACCAAATATCTGACTCGTAAAAGTTACACAGAGTAAAAAAGAAGTCATTCTCTCCCTAAGTTTTCACCGCCTAAAACGTTGTCTGAAAAGTCATTAATTGTGTTTTACTCTTCCAATATCAATTTTTCACTTTAACCGACAAACACTTTTTACCCCGTCAAGCTTGGTGGGTAAAGGCATTATTCAAATGGGTAGCCCCATCAAATGGACACAATGTTATGGACAATGTTGTCAAACTTACCTCGAGCCCTAAAAGAATTTCTTTATTTGATCAACCTATTAAATACTCCCTCCGTCCTATAATGATCTTTCCAGAGCACTATTCCAACTTTACGAGAATTTATATTTATTTGTGTTTTTTCATGGCCTATATGATAAAATAAAATATTTTTGTCACCACTTGTTTTGTTGAACTTTTGGTGTAGTTTTTTAAATATGTATGTTTTATTTTTTATTTCTATACCAATATTTAAATAAAATAGATTGAAAAAACTTGGGATTTTTCTTCGTTTTGCGAACCGGGAAGAAAGATATAGGACGGAAGGAGTAACTTTTAAAATGATTTTATTTATAAATTATTTAAATAATAATAAATACTAGTAAAATTTTTATATTTGAGAACTGTATCAAAAACTTTATTAAACAAAAGATGACAAGAATATTTTATGTTATCAAAAGCTCAATGAAAGCATGGAAACAAATAAAAATTAACGACAACGTAATAATAATGTTTCTTTTAGGGACGGTGAGAATATGTCTATTAAACACGTGTAATCACATATAGGTATTACGTAGTAGTATTCATCACCTTTAATTTGTTTCAAAACATCACGTCCATTCTTCATTGTGAGAGTGTGACATCTTTTTTACCATTTTTGTTACCCTTCTTCTCTATTCTCATTACTCAAATTATAAACAACATACTTTTATCATTTCTTATTGTAGACTTTTTTGTTTATTACTACTTTCGTTTCAGGGTATTTGTCCGCTTTCATTTTTACCCACCATCCAATACACTTCTTTAATCCATTTTATCTTGTAATTTATATATTAAAAAATTATAGAAATTATATATTAATAATCTATATGTTAAGACAAATCAAACAAGATTACACATAAGTATACTTAGGCTTACATATTGAGAGAATTTGATGAGTCAAAGTGCTTAGATGAACAGTTCCAAAAGTCAAAACTGGACGAATACTCCGGGAAAGAGGAAGTATTTATATACACGGAGTATAAACTTTAATTTTTTTTAATTATAATTTAAATTAAAAATAATTTTAATCAAATATCATAAATCATTCTCCATAACTCACTGTAAAAACATTCATGTGGGACCAAAGAGGAAGTACTCTTTAATTTAACAAAGAAATATTAGAGTAAAAAACACAAGAGTTACAAAAAAATTTATTGTTATTTGTGTATTCTAAGGCTCCGTTCCGTTCAACTTATTTTTTCTAATCTGATCTGATTTTAATAAGTTCTGATCTGATCTGATTGGGTCTGATCTGATCTGATTGGATCTAATCTGATCTCGTGTGATCTGATTGAATCTGATCTGATCTGATTTGATTAATTATGATTTGATTTAGAATTCAAATCAATAATTTGATTTGACTTTATAATAACATTTGAAAATTGTAATGATAATTCATATCACAATATAATCAATATTTTTTATTTAATGATTATTTTTTTAATAAAATAAAATTAGTTAATTCATATATTAGAATAATCATTCGTATTATAATGTAATAATATTTTTTATTTTATGATTTTTTTTTGTGAAATTAGAATATTAATTTAATATTTTAATAATTACTTCATATATACATTAAAATAAATATTTAATTTATATATACATTAAAAAGTAATTAAATTTAGATAATCAATATATAATAGAGATAATATTTTTATTAAAATATGACATCCTTATAAAAGATCAAAACTTTAGATACTCAAATTACAAGTAGCAATAAAAATATATTTTAAAAGTATAATTATATTTACATTGTCAATATATTTTAAAACTAATTTTTTCGACGTCTAATAATTAAGGATAATAATAATAATAATAATAATTCCTGATGGGATCTGATTTTAATAAGTTCTTATCTAATTCGATTGGATCTGATCTGATTCGATCTGATCTGATCTGGTCTGATCTGATTTTAATAAAGATAAGAAAAAATAAGAAAAAATAAATTGAACGGAACGGGGCCTAAATCTCAAACTGTTAATAATTTAAAATTAATTTTATCTTTTGTTAAGTTGCACAAATATTAAATTTGTGTACTTTGTAATTCTTGTGTTTATGATTCTATTACTTCTCAATTTAATGAAAACGAAAGTGGTCTAAGCCCAATCCAAAGTTTTGATAGATTTGACGGTAATTTAATGAAAACAAAAATGGTCTAAGCCCAATCTAAAATTTTGATGGATTTGACAGTAATTTAATGAAAACACAATTGGTCTAAGTATTCGACAGATTAGACGATTTGTAAGAAACTTCGGAAGCGTAATCCTAATTCGGGATGTGACGCAAACATGGTACCACGGGAACACGATATCGTGGGTTGAGATTTTCGAAATCAAACCCATAAAAACTGAAAATTACATTTATTTTGGTAATTATATTTCAAATCGCACTTTTCCATCTTTTTTTATCTTGTTTTGTAGAACTTTTGATTTAATTTTGAACGGTGTAATCTATACTTTTTTTCTACCAATTAGTAAAATAAAATAATTTTAAAGGAGATGACATTTTGTACATTGTTCGAAATATGTAAACAATTTGGGATGAAGAAAGAATTAGCTAAAGAAATATAGAATGGAAACCAATTTAAATACAATTTCTACCGTAAATAGGAATAGAAAGCTGGCTTATAATTAAATACTACTATAATCAAAACTATTGTTATTATTATTCTTATTACTCCCTCCGTTTATAAATAAACTTTACGTTACACGTTACGATATTTGACTGGAGTTATTTTTAAATCATTTTATATGAAAAATGGTGTGAAATTTTAAAATAAAAATCACATATTAAAAAACTATATCAAAAGATCTGCAAAACTAGAGGTGACATGATTAAGGGGGTGTTTGTTTTTTGGTGATATCGGCAACACTCCAGGCAAATAATGATTTATACCTGGTCAACACCTGGACAATCTCAGTCCTTAGCTCTTCCTGAAGGTCAGCCCCAATTTTGACCTTCCTCTCTGGATTGGAGGCATCAATCTGGATCTCCTCCGTGTTCGCATCCGGCTCGATCCTAGCCTTCTCCTCACCCTTGTCTACCTGCTGGGAGATCAATTCAATTTGTTCGAACTGGCGGGTCATCTTCTTGACTGCTTCCAGGTAGCAGGACCGGGCGTTCTTTTGATCACCCCTTTCCTCCCCGATTCCATTGGGAGTGTAAAACTTCATGCATAAGTGTGCCATGGAAATAATAGCCCTGACCTGGTTGATCCCAGGCCTACCCAGAATGGCATTATGCACACACTTGATGTCGACCACAACAAATCTCATTTGTTTGGTCACTGTCCTGTTACC